AGGTTAAGAGCATTGCCTGCTCTTCCAAAGGTCCTGAGTTCAATTCCCAGCAACCACATGGTGGCTCACAACCATCTGTAATGGGGTCTGGTGCCCTCTTCTGGTGTGCAGGCATACACACAGACAGAATATTCTATACATAATAAATAAATAAATATTTAAAAAAAAAAAAAGAAAGACCATGTTGATCTTCTCTCTTAGCTTTTGTGTCCCCCAGGAAAATGTGCAGTTCTGTGACTCTGTGATGAGGGGACCAGCTCTATCTGTAGGTCACAAGTGTGATGACAGAAGTGTTCAAACAGATCCAGAGTTCAATATCATCATTGATTTAACTTTGTATTTGGAGATTTCAGTTTTTCTTGTTAATTGTGGGATGTCTTAAATCTTCCACACAGATCCCCCAAAGGCACATGTGGCCCATCATCCTGGACCTAAAGGTGACGTCACCCTGAGGTGCTGGGCCCTGGGCTTCTACCCTGCTGACATCACCCTGACCTGGAGGAGGGAGGAGGAGGAACAGACTCAGAACATGGAGCTGGTGGAGACCAGACCTTCTGGGGATGGAACCTTCCAGAAGTGGGCATCTCTGGTGGTGCCTTCTGGGGAGGAGCACAAATACACATGCCATGTGTACCATGAGGGGCTGCCTGAGCCCCTCACCCTGAGATGGGGTAAGGAGGGAGTGGGTGCAGAGCTGGGGTCAGGGAAAGCTGGAGCCTTCAGCAGACCCTGAGCAGGGTCAGGGCTGAGAGCTGGGGTTATGACCCTCACCTTCCCTACCTGTCCCTCCCTTCCCAGAGTCTCCTCAGTTCATGGTCCCCCTAAAGGAAGGCATTACCTTTGGATATGTGATCTTTGGAGTTGTGGCTGTGGCGGCTTTGGTGGCTGTGGTGGCTGTGGTGGCTGTGGTGGCTGTGGTGGCTGTGGTGATTAAGAGGTGGAGAAACAGAGGTAGGAAAGGGCAGGGTCTGAGTTCTCTCTCTGCCCCTTTTAGAAGAATCTCTGCCTCATTAATGGGAAACACATCCACACTCTCATTGCTGCTGTCTCTGACCTGGGTCTGCTGTCAGTTCTGGAAACTTCCTAGGGTCGGGGTCTTCCCTGGTCTCTCATAGTTTTTCTTCTCACAGGCAGAAACGCAGAGGTCTATGCTCCAGCTCCAGGTAAGTGTGAGAGGAAGAAGGATTGTCCGTGAGTCATTTGGGGTCAAGTTAGAGATGATGGGTCACTCTGACAACCCATAATAGCTTCTCCAGTGAAATCTTCTGGGGCCCCTGATTTCACCTTTCCAGATATATATATAGTCAGGGACAGTTCCCAGAGCTCTGATGTCTCTTTCCCAGACTGTAAAGGTGATACTCTTGGGACTGACTTGGGGAGGGGCAGAGGGAACATTATTGGGTTTCATGGACTCCAAGAATCACCTTTAAGAAGTGGTAGGTTGTTGGGATGTTGTCTTCACAGTGATTGTTTATGACTCTTGTTCTGTAGCGTGAAGACAGCTGCCTGGTGTGGATGGAGTGACAGACGATGTGTTCAGGTCTCTCCTGTGACATCCAGAGCCCTCAGTTCACTCTCAGCAATAGTGTCTGATGTTCCCTGTGATCCCATGGGCTCAGTGTGAAGAACTGGGGAGCCCAGCCCACTCGTGCACACCAGGATCCTGTTCCTGCACTGCCCTGTTCTCTTCTACAGCCAACCTTCCTGTTCCTGCAGACAGGAGGGGACATCTCCATCCTGTCTCCTCCATGCTGTCCTGAGCTGCAACCCTGACTTCCCCTCTGAAAATAAGAATCTGAATGTGAACTTGGTTGTTCACGTCCTTGATCTCAAAGTTGATTGGTGGTAAAATAAAGGATTGAGATAGAGTTTGTGGAGGAAATAAATGGCAGCGTGGAGAACCTCCCAGAATCTGTGTTCACTATGCTGTGTGCTTCTGGTGGGACAGGATGAGGCTGTGGGAGCTGAGTGGGAACAGGGCTGTGCCCAGGTGGAGCTCAGTTTGTTGTTGGCATTGACATGATCACTCCTCAGCTCTGTCACCTCCTGGCTCTGTTCTCTTCATCACTTGAACCACATGCCGAGAGTCTGTGATCACAGAACATTGGGATGGCCAGAGCCTTGTCCTGTCTCCAGGATTATGAGCAGCCAGGGTTGCTGTGATAGGTCAACCTGGCCATGGTTCTTCCCCTGTCTTCTGTGTTTATTTCCTGTCTTTCTAACTTGTCTGGAGAACTATACCTGTTCTTGTACCTGTAGGTGGTGCTTGTAAGAGACTGCTCATTCGTATCTTGCCTGCGCACACCCAAATAACCACACAGAAACTATATTAATTACAGTTTGGATAACGGCTGAGGCATATTTCTGGCTATCTCTTGTATCTTAAATTAACCAGTTTCTATTAATCTGTGTAACACCACAAGGCTGTAGACTACTGGTAAGGTTCCAGCATCTTTCTCCTTCAGCAGCTACATATCATCTGCCTGACTCTTCCTTCTTTCTCCCTAAAATCATTTTAGTTTTCCAGCCTAGCTCTGTTCTGCATAGGTCAAAGCAGCTCCTTATTAACCAATGGTAATAAAACGTGCTCATAGCGTACAGAAGAGAATCCCACATCAGGTGATTGCCTACTTTTTCCTTGGGGTCCCTGAGGTGTTTTTCCTTTCTTGTCCACTCAACACTCAACTAAGCTCCTGCACTCAGGAGACTGTGGGATGAAAACGTAAACTTTAGTCTCTGGGGCTCCTGCCTCCTTCCAGGCCCCTCCTGGAGTTATTTTATTCTTTCCCATTTTTCAGAATCAAACCTGGCCTATAGGCTAGGCAGAGAGTAAGGATCCACAGGATCTCATCTCAGATCTGTCTGTTGGTTATCTGTTCTGCCCAAGGTCCTCTCTCCCTCCCAGGCTCTTGAAATCCTGGTGCTGCCTCCAGTGGTGACTCAACGGTTTACAGGTTTAGTCTACTTTTATGTTTTAAAGAACATGACCCAGGAACAGGAGAGATGGAAGGGGGTTGAGAGCACTTGCTGCTCTTGTAGAGGACCCGTGTTCAGTTACCATCACTTACATGGCGACTCAAAAACATCTATAACTCCTGTTCCATGGCATCCAACAACACTGTGAACACCATACAGGCACATAGTACAAATAAATACAGATGAGAAAAACACTCACAGACTTAAAATTAATAAACTTTTAAAAAACAGATTGTGGAGACCCCAGAGATGGAAATTACTTCATATCCTGCTACGGAAACGGTCCCTGCAGTTTTCCCTAGTAGCTCTGTGACTTCGAGTCAGGAGCTCCAAGAGCCTTAGCAGAGATGTTTGAAGATCAAAAAGGTTATAACCTTGGTCGTGATGCAGCCATTTTGTGAGGGATGATGACTTCCAGTACCTGGGACTCAGCAAACATCCATACCCAATAAATAAATGTTTGGTGAATGAATAAAAATAAATAGGATCATGGATCACAAACAGAAAGGCAGGTGGGGAGACGAAGGGAGGACTTTGTGGAGGGAAAAGCTCAGGTGACTGTGACCTCAGTGTGAGAGGACCTGGGACTGCACTTGACCTGAGGTTGTGTTAATAAGGGAGCTTCTGTAGAAAAGGGAGGTGATGGGTCTTCCTAGCCTGTTTGGATGCTCACCTTCCTAGACCTGGATGGAGGGGGGAGGACCTTAGACTTCCCACAGGGCAGGGGACCCTGACTGCTCTTTGGACTGGAGAGGGAGGGGGAGGGAATAGAGAGGTGGGGAGGAGGCAGAAATTTTTAATAAAAAAAAAAAGGGGGGGAGGTGATTGTGGGAATTTTCCTCTGGACTGAAACATCCCTGCTGGAGCCAGGAAGAGGCTGATGAGGCTCAGGATACACAGGAAGCTACAGGTTCACAGAGCTGACACAATGTAGCGCTTCCCTCTCAGGGTTAAACCAGCTGCAGTTCCTAAGGGAGAGGAGATGTGGAGTGGAGCTGCTGGGAGCTGTGCCGGGGACCGCAGTGGTAGCTGTCAGTGGTTATCACCGACTCACCCTGTGAGGGACCAGTGAGCTCAGGGCTCACAAAGATGACTGTGGATGGATGTCTTCCTTGGTATGCTGTCTCTGTCTCTATCTGGGGAGGAGGAAATCTACTCCTCAATCAGGGGGACACAGCTATGTTAATTGTTTATGTAAATTGTTCTATCATTAATAAAACTCAGGATTCAGATATTGGGGTAAAAACCTGATAGATCAAGAAAGCAGCAGAGAAACAACCAGCTGACCCTCTCTTTCCATGCTTCCCAAATTGAAAAAGACCCATCAATCCTTCTAGCCGCCTCCCTACTCTTTTCTGCTCCTCTCTATCTTATTGTATACTGGGTCTTCCAAACCCTCTATTACTAATTCCAGACAGCTGGTTGTTGACTCCGCCCCCTGATATAAGGATAACTTTATTAAGAGTCTTGGAGTTTCACAGTACAATCACATATCCCTCAACATTCACCCCCCTCCCGTCTAAATGAAAAGAAAAAGTTTTAACTCTAACATAGTAAAACTATGTACAATAGCAACAATTATCAGGTAAGAATTACATTTACATGCAGAAGTAGAGGTGTACACCTTTAGTTTCAGCAGTTGGGAGGCAGAGACAGACAGATCTCTGTGAGTTCAGCCTGGTCTACAGAGCAAGATCCGGGACAGGATCCAAAGATACACAGAGAAACTTTGTCTTGAAGAACACACAAACAAACAAGCTGGGCAGTGGTGGCAGATGCCTTTAATCCCAGCATATTGAGAGTTAGGAACTATTAAGGGATACATGAAAATCTAATGATATCATAAGATTGGCATACAACTCTGATTTTTGAACTGAATCACAAGGGCTTTGAGCCATTTTACTTATTTTTCCTGACTTATAACCTACCTTTCCTGATTTATTTGCATCTGTATAGAATGTAGGGGCCCCAGAAATTGGTATCCTTTTTAATATATGAAGGAGATTCCAATTAGTTCTTTTTATAAACTGAAGTCTCCTACTTTGGGGATATTTGTTGTTAATCTCTCCCAAAAAAAAAAAAATTACTGCAAGTTCTTTGCCAATGTCCATTTTCTGCCCATAATGAGGCAGTTTCACCGTTAGTAAAAAGTACCACAGCTTCAGCTGGGTCTGTTCCTGCTAATTTTTCCTTTCAGAGTCAATTCAGAAACCTTGTCTACATAGGTCTTTGTTTCTTTCTTTTTAGTTTTTTGTTTGTTTGTTTGTTTTTGTTTGTTCGTTTTTTGAGAAAGGGTTTCACTGTAGCTTTGGAGCCTGTCTTGGAAGTAGTTCTTGTAGACCAGGCTGGCCAGCCTCGAACTCACAGAGATCCACATTCTTCTGCCTCCTGAGTGCTGGGATTAAAGGTGTGCACCACCACCGCCTGGCCATAGGTCTTTATTTCTTTACTCTGTTTGTGTGCTAAAAACATCCACTCTAAAATACCATTTTCTCTCTGCTTAAGAATCCCTTTATAGCCAGGTGGTGGTGGTGCATGCCTTTAATTCCAGCACTGGAAGGCAGAGGCAGGTGGATCTCTGTGATTTCAAGGCCAGGCTGGTTTACAGAGTGAATGCCAGGACAAGCTACAAAGCTACACAGAGAAACCCTTCCCCCACCCCCGCAAAAAAAAAAAAAGTCAAAAATAAAGAATCCCTTTATAAAAGTGAGTAGAAGGTAGAATGGCTGGGATACAATCAAGGTCTGAATCCAAGTGATCCACATGTGCATCCTGTACCCTTTTTTTCTACCAAAGTCATTTATCTCTCTGCCTCAGATGATAACTTTCTTGGAATATATAAGTCCTTATCATCACATAAGGTTTGAAATAAATTACTTAGCTCTTGAGTATTTAATCCAATTATGGGCTGTAGCCAATTAATATCTCCCAGCATTTCCTGAAAATCATTAAGACTTCACAATTAATCTCTCCTGAATTGTACTTTCTGTGGTCGAATTTTCTGTAAACCTATCTTACATCCTAGACAATTGATAGAATCTCTTCTTTGTATTTTTTCAGGAACAATTTGTAATCCCTAGCAAGGCAAAATTCTCTTTACTTCATCAAACATTTTTTTCTAGATTGATGAAACTGTTTATGATTTAGTTCTCATTACTATTGTACAAAATAGTGACACAAGGTGGGGCTGTTTAACATTCCTTGTGGAAGAATTTTTCCATTGATACCTTTTAACACATTGAGCATTATAATAAGTAGGCACCATGAAGACAAATTTTTCTCTATCATGTTCTTGTAAAGATATAGAAAAAAAAGGCAGTCTTTTAAATCAATCACTATAGCAGACAATCACTTAGGTAATAAATAAAGCTAGGGAATTCCAGGCTGTGAAGAGCACATTGGCTGAATCACCTTATTATGGCTCTTAAATCTGTTACCATCTTACATTTTCCAGGTTCCTTTTTATGACAAAAATAGGAGAATTCCAAAGGATGGGTCAATATTTCAATTACTGAACATTTATCTTCTCCTGTACCAGCTGTCCTAGTGCCTATAATTTTTATGATGTCAAAGTTCATTGTTCTACACACATGTTTGTCAGTTAACCATTTTAAGGGTAGGGAATTAGTACCTTTGAAAGACATACACCTGTTGTGTCCTGCTTATGTACAACCTGAATGGGCTGTTGGTATGGGAAGTCTTTCTGTGTGTTGCTTTCATTGGATAATGAATAAAGAAGCTTCTTTCAGCCAATGGCTTAACAGAATATAGCCAGACTGGAAAAGCTTTATAAGAAAGAAGGTGGAGTCACAAGATGCCATGTAGCCATACCAGAGACAGATGCCAGACAGAACTTTACCTGGTAAGCCACAGCCACCTGGTGATACACAGATTAATGGAGATGGGTTAGTTTAGTATATAAGAACTAGCTAACA